GACGCGATGCCCCACACGAAGCGCATCACCAGCGCGCTAAAGAACTTGAACATGCTGGTCTCGTTGAGGACGATGGGCTGCGCCGCGGCGGCCGCGGGCTTCTTCTTCTTTTTCTTCTGCTTGGTGCCGTAGTAGTCGTAGTCGTCGTCGCCGTCGTCATCCTCGCCGCCGTACTCGTAGTCATCGTAGTCGCCCCTCTTGCGTGCGTCCGCGGCGGGGAGGCCGGCGAGCGCCAGCGACGCGGGCGGTGCCAACGACAAGGCTCCCGTCGAGCGGGCGAGCGCGGCCTCCGGGCGGGTCTCGGCCGCCACCTGCGCACCAGCAAAAACACAACATTATTTCATGTCCGAAAGAAATTGTTAAAAGAATGAATGGAAGTGTGACATCATGATCGTGATCAGCGCGCCTCTCTGCGCAGCAAGCGTTTCAACCCCTTCCGTTCCTCGCCGAAAGCGAGCCGGGCCGCGAGCGGTGTGGCGTGGCGTGGCGGACTCATAAACATTCGGCTTGCCGGTGGCAACCTTCCAAGGGGACGAGTAGCGTGTGACAAAAGTCCCGGGCGCGGAGTCTTGCGAGGGGCGTGGCGCGGGGCGGGGTGGCCTCCAGTGCTGCTGCTGTTGTCCTCCCGCGCGGTGCGGTTGAGGAGGCACTTGGTCTGCAGTAGCCGAGGAGGGAGAGAGGGGGTCACTTTGGACGCGTGCCTGTGGGGGACCGAGTTGGCCAGGCGAAACCACTGCCGCTGGTAGGAACGGGTCTAGCGGGGTGGTCGTCGGAGTGAGCGAGTGGACTGTGCTGCCGCCGGCCAGCGCCGAGAAAGAGACCCAGGAGATATGCGGCCGGCCTCCCAACCAACCCCACATCATTATTCTGGAACGCAAGAGGCATTCTCTGGAGTACTTGCGATCTACCTCTCTATATGGTCGTATACCGCGCCAAACACGCGATGAAAGAAAGGATAAAAATGTCACCTTTACCTGTACTGCTAGACGTTTTATGGCCTCGACATTTTAAACACAAATTTCACTTTAAAGCAAGAAAAAAATAAAAATGAAATCAAGAACTGGGGCAGTCTTGCTCGCGTGAAGCCACCTTTCATTGGTATATACAGTGCTTTCGTGTGGAAAGTTGGTGTTGCCTGCACGCTGCTGCTCTGCTCTGCAGGACACACGGAGCCGGTACTCTGGCCATCGACTGCTGTCACCACACCACGACGGGGCGCCGCCGCCGCCGTGCTCGACATGCCGCCCGCGTGAAACCCACCGCCTTCGCGAGGGGCAGGCACGCGATCGCGAGGCCGCCAGGCAGCCAGGAAGGGGCAAAAACAAGTTTCAAGACACCCTGCTTCAACTTTAACGAGGCTTGCTGTGCAGGTTGGCCGAAGAAGGACCCTAGGATATTTTCGTCCGATTGGGTACCGCATATGCGGGCGTATGTGGGCACCATAATGAAACCGATGAGTTGCCCTCCACGCCAGATCTGTAAAATGCGGCCCACCCGATACATATGAAATCACATACCTGGCCCAGCAGCAGCAGCGGCAGGAAGGCGCAGCAGGCCACCAGCGAGCCCGTCTGGGGTCGTCCTCGGCTCTGCCGCCTGCTGCTCGGCGACCCCCGCGCGGAGTGCGCCATGCACGGGGCCACCCCGGGGCCGCTTCTCCTCAGCAGGGCCGGGGGAAGAGCCGCAGCGCTGCACCTGCGATACACAAACTGTCAGTCAGCTCCAGCTAAAAGTGCAACCTTTATAATCTTCTTCCTAAGATTTTCAGAGAGCGAAAAGTAAAGATTGACTGAGATGCAACTTGAAGTAACCTCTAGGTTACAAGATGGGCTTTCGCCAACCTGACGTGCGCAAAATAATTTTCAGTTTGTTTTACAAATTGTCGGGGTCGCACGTCGCACTCTTAGCACACAGGTCGAGAAAGTGCGCGCCTTACGCAGCGAATCCAAAATTAGGTATGGCGCCCGCCTCAGACGATTGTTCAGCAGCTTTTCTGCTCCCAGGTCATGCCCACTCCGCAAACCCCCTCGCGCGGGGTCGAAGCCTGACCAGCAGAACCAGCTAGCCCGTGCGAGGGCCGCATTCGCCCTCGGGGCGGTCGGGAAGAGGCCTGCGAACGCCTGTGGGTAGGCCACCGGGCAGGGCGCGCGTGTCGGCCGGCACTGCCTACGCCGCCATCGGCAGGCGCTGGCGACCCCCACGTGCCTCCGAAAACTTGACTAACCGCGTGAGGCTCCACGATCAGAAACACAAACACAACTCGCGGGGCGGGAGGCGACTTGCGCTTTGCGCCCACAGAGTTTTATTATTTGCTCTACTTCCTGCTGCCCAGGAAGGGTTATTTTTTATTATTTTTTTTTTCGACGGCGACAGCGACACGGGTATGAAAAGATTTTGTCACGTGCTTGAATGGTGTGTTGTCCGTTTTCGAGCTCGCCCCCCACCTCCCACCTATCACGCAGAGGTTGATGGACATGTCCTGAAATTCTTCTGGGCCAATACTCTTTTCTGGGACCAGGTAATTTCACAAAAATTTCGTCGATGTTTGCGGAGGCACTTCACCACACTTTCGCCGTCGCCGTCGTCCCTTGTGCGGGGGCACCAAAAAGACGTCACATTACATCCTGGTGGAGGCGGCCCCTACCTGGCGAGGCGGCGTTGACACGTCTTCGGGGCGCCGGCGGGCGCGGCCAGCAGGCCATGGAACGCGGCCAGAGCGTGCGCGGGTGGACGGGGTATCCGGGCGGTGTTGTTGGCTGGACTGGGCCGCAGTGGACTGGGTAGAGCTGTGCGGCGGCAACTCTCTGCGCTCCGGGCGCCCAAGACGACCGACCGACCCACGTAGCAGTCGCACTCGGACTCACTCGCGGGCCCAGGACGACTCCACCACACCTCATGCAGGCCCCGCCCCGCCCCGTCCCGCCACGCCCCGCCACGCCCTGGCCG